ATTTTGATTTTGGTGTTTTTTGGGCAAAAAATTCTTGTTCCCTGAACATTTAGAGGGTTTTGTTTTTGAAGGAAAAATTTTATTGTTCAGTTCATTTGATGTAAGATCGTCAACAACATTTATTTTTTGATAATTTGTTTGCCAATTGAAGATATGTACGAATTTCGGCATTTGAAAATCAAAACTAATTGTTGAAAGTTGATCGTTGGGCTGTGTAAAATACGATGTTTCTACCATATTAATTCATTGCATGTGAATAAACTGTGTGTATCTCTTAAACTGCGGACTGTGTTTCCCTTAAGTGTAACAAAGACAGTGTAACAATACAATGTAATAACAACAATGTTCAGTGGCTTTGTGGATGTGATAAATTCAAAATAGAGATAAACTGTTTAAATAAAATTATATACAAATTATGTTTGACAAAATGTAATAGTAAAATATTTTATGTAAGTGTCTTATTACACTGTTATTGTTACACTGTTATGGTATTCGCATATTAAAAAAAAATAATCACCTTTAAAATAATAAAATATTAAAATATACTGTTGCAAAATTTGAAATTCAAACCAACTAATTTAACTTTATAATAAACGAAAGAATCAAAAAAACAAATCGTCTATTAAATTAGAAGATTTTTAATGTATATATTTATCCTCAAAAAAAATGGAAGGATCAAATCTTCCATTAAATTAGAAGATTTTTAATGCATACATATAATCTAAAAAAAAAAAAATCAATTTCCAAAAATAAATCGCATGAATTAAGGGAGCACAATTGTCAAAGAAAAATTCAATAATTTCAAATTATGTATTTGAACACAAATAAGAACTAAAATTAAGGATTTTTTTTCTTTACATTTTTTTCTGTGTATTTTTTTACAATTGACTCTATAAAGACAGGGTTTCAAAATTTGAAATTCAAACAAAATGATATATCCTAAAACTAGGAGATATTTAATGCATAAATAAACAGAATATTAAAGTAATCTCATAAAACTATAAGATATTTAATGCATAAATATAATTTGAAAATAAAAAAATTTTCAAAAAAAATATGCTTGAATCAAAGGGGGACAAAATTTTCACAAGAAAATTTGAAAATTTCAAATAATATACTTAAACACAAATAAGTATCAAAATTAAGAACTTTTTTATTCTTTTTTTTTTTTGTGTACTTTTTTACAATTAATTCTAATTTAGTATACCCCTTCCAATTTACCTAAAAATTTAACCCAAATTTATAGGCTCATTTATTTTTTGGAGTTTTAGATAAGACCCAAATTTTAGGAGCTCAAATCAATGTCTAATTTTATTAGGTCCAAAATTACTCTTAATTTAGTTAAGCACAACATAATCCATAAAATAGAAACCCTATGATAATTAAAAATAATATATATGAATACACAAAATATTTTTTTTGGGTAAGTGAATACACAAAATATTAGTAGAGGCCTGCATAGAGTTTTTCGCCTAGACCCCTATTTGTATTGTGCCGCCCTGAATCTAGTGTGTTAACCTACTAAATTTTATTAACTTTATAAATTAACTTAGTCCCAACGTGCATGCATGGTCTGTCTTTAAACAGATTGTGAAGAAGATTAATTGAGATACACATAAAATGGTCTGAACACCCTTTTTTTTTTTTGTTGAGAAAGTCTGAACACCCTTGACTGTAGAACAAAAAAAAAAAAAAAAAAACCTTGTTAACCTAGTCTTAACTTTGATCAAATCTCTCAACCTGCCAAACTCTTTCATCTATATAATAAAGTATAATATTATTTAAATTTCAAAAGATAAACAAAATGACTTTTATTTTTCGTGATCGAGATTTCTTTAAATTTTATTTTAAAGTTAATCCAACGACTAATATTAACACCTTAAATTTATTTGCTTACATTTGTTAGTATGGATGATTATGTTCACTTATGTTTATGATATTGGAAAAAAGTCTCTAAGTGTCAAGTTCTTGATTCCCTCCATATCAATTTCTGGACAAATGTATGGATCTTATTATCTTTGTCTAATTTCTCTTTGTTAAATGATAAATCAGATGATGATTGATAAAATTGGTGGTACTATAAGTCGTTGAAGCAATGAAATAGAAAGAGGATATTACCATCTCAAGCTTAAGAGAAAACAGTCATTTTTTCCATTCCACTTGCCAAGCGACAAGAGGAAGATATCAAAGTGTTATATTATGACAGACTATTATCAGTCAAGTTTCGATATCATTTTTTCCAGAACACAATGGCAAGAAGAGCATAAGGAAGCAACTTTCAACTAGTTTTATAAAACCCATGGCCTTTTTATATTTGAAAATTTAGTGCACTTCCTAAGATTAAACTTTTTTGGTAAATGCATGAACATGTACTTAAAATGCTCACCGCAACTCTCATGTCAAATACATTGAAATTAAAATGAAACTATAGAATGTATGCTCTTCAAAAGTGAACTTGATTCACAAGTGAAAATTGACTCAACTGAGTTGGTTTGCTGCCAATGTGGGCTATGAAGTTGATTAATACTCAAAATATGTTACAGATTCAGTACATAATAGTTCACTCTCTTAATGATTTAAGTGCAACACACGTGTACATCAACCAATTATATAAATGCCTTAAAAAGAAAGATTCCGTTCCTGGGATTTTTCAAATACCCACCACTATTTATTATTTGCTACACATGTTCAACACACCACGGCCATCAATCTTCTAATTCCTCTTCCCCCAAGGCTAACTTGACCAATATCTCCCCCTCCTTGTTGTGTCCAATTATAATTTAGGTAGAATAGTATTTGTATTAGAAGTATAAAATATAGTACCTAGTGTATAAAAGATTATGCAGTACCAAAAACAAAACATAAAAATAAGCAACCTCACTATATTTCTAATTTTTATACTCAAATTCTCGATGTATTCTTTAATATAAATGAACAGTCGTCACCACTCAGTTGTTTTTGTCATCACTTAATTGTTCGAGATTCAATTTATGTATAATTTTAACTATAAGAATGATTTTTAAAATCTTGGTCATTCCAGGCCACCAAGCATGGAATCCACGAGCATCCAAAGTCTAAACTTTTCTTCTCCTGCATAAGTAAGTAAACCATGTTAACATTAAAAATGTGTGCCAAATTTTTTTATCGACATTTATAATATTTGTGAGTGTTTTTTATAATTATTATGATATCAAAAAAAGTGACAAAAATAATTATCACAACTGCGATAAAAACCAGTGTTATCAGAACTGGATCGGACCGGTTCAACCATGAATTGGGACCCTAACCGCTCCGGTTTCTTAATTGAACCGCTTAAGAAAGCGAATTGACTAAAAATCAGAAAATCGGCAGATTTTTAACAAAAAATCGTGAACCGGCGGTTTTATAAAAACTAGACAGTTTAATGCCTATTTAAAAATTAAATTACATAAATAATTTTTTTTGTCCTAAATCAATAAATAACTGATTTTTTTTAACCTCATTCTTGGATAAATTATAAATGACATCCTTTTTTTTTTTTCTTTATAATTTACTTGAATCTCTTTACTTTGCTTTAAAATACAATAATCTCCACTTTGTTACTTAATTTTATTAATTTTTTTTATATTTTTTAGCTAAATTATTAAGTTTTATAATTATTATATAATTTTTTTTATTTTTTTATTATATGATCGGTGCGATCAGTTGACCGAATGATTGAACTAGTGAATCATTGACCCGGTCTCCTTACCGGTTCGATGACAGGTCCGATTCTGATAATATTGATAAAAACACTCACAAATGTGATAAATCACAAAATAAAAATGTGATAAAAGTAGTTACTACAATAGTGATAAAAATATTTTTAAAAATAGTAAAAATACACACACAAGTAATAAAAAATAATTATCACAACAATGATAAAAATACTTAAAAATGATAAAAATACCAAAAAAAAAAAAAAATAATTACCACAATAGTGATAAAAATGTTCAAAAAATAGTAAATGCGCTCACAAAAGTGATAAATCACTTGTAAAATTGATAATTTTTTTTATTGTAAAATTGTAGCACTATAGATCCGAAATTATTTATTAAAAAACACTTCCAATATCTTGGCATTGTCTATCACGTGAGATGACCTACATCTCATCTCAACGGAACCTTTTCGAAAAAATCACGGAACCCTTTGACTTTGTGACTATTTTAAGTATATAATAGATTAAGTTGGTTGAAGCACTTTTTCCGAAAGGGTTTTAAAGTTGAATTGCTTTGCGCTGGGCTTATTGTTTTTCACGGAGTGCGACCTCCTCCGAATAAAGATGGCAGAGAAGAGCAGAGGATTTGGAGCTGAGGAATGCTATATGAATTTAAAAAATAAATTTAAAAATTAAACTTGATAATCTCAATTATTAATTTTATTGTAGTCTTAATATTTATTGAGACCTACTTGAAATTATTAAATTTAATTTTTAAATCCATCTACCATTACTCTTTAAATAAAACCCAAAAATTATAATTTAAATACAAATCATCTCTTAAATGATTGTTGGATGAATTTTACTATACAAATTGATAAAACTCATTCAGATGATACACAAGTTGATTATAATTTTTTAAATTTTATTTAAATTATGTAACATTACTCACATATGTAGACAGGTTTTTCAGCTTAGGGCAGTGAGGTCCAACTCCTCTATTTTTCTATTTTTTAACAGTAGATGTGTTGTTTATTAAAATAACGTTATTTATTATAAAATATAAATATTCAACAGTAGAATATCCTCACCCACCAACGACCTGTTGGTCTCGGGTATAAACTCAAATTTTCTCGTTCTAAATCTTGATAACTACGATGACTCTTTAGAGACTAAATCTACTCTTTAAGGTCTGGAGCAAGCGACGAGACCTTATCTTCAGCCCAGTGCGATGGAGTCCACTTTGCAGATAGTTGTAGTGCTGAAGAACGGATGTTTGACAGATATATGAAAGGACCTATATGTTTATCCATTTTACAGCACCAAAAAAAAAAAAATCCTCACTCTAGTGACTGTGATTCCATGGAGGAACAACGTACATACGCCTAGGACTCCTCCGTTCGCAATGACAGCAACGAGAGTAACACCGCTGAACTTTCCCGCCGTCTTTCTGATCACCGACACGGAATCTAACTGCCGGAGAGGAAAATCGGCAGCCGGAACGATTGTGCTGAGGGGGAGGGGGAGAATAGAATCCGGGAACTCCACACGGCGGCGATGGTGATGCAGAAGAAGTGGAGGAACTAGACGAAACAATTGACGGAAGAGAAAATTCTTTTTTGAGCGGTTTGATCGGAAAAAGTACCGCTCTGACCTTCATCTCCGACTTGTCAGCCGTAGACGACGAGACTCGATCGTATTCTTGGATGACATTAGAGAGGTCCTCATCGGAGGCAACAGAGACAAGGAAGTCGAGATCTTCAGTCGGCAATTTACATCTCAAACTCATGGACGATCCACACAACTCTCCAAACTTGACCATCAGCTCTGTGCCGACATCAAAATAATTCAATTCCTCAAAATTTAAAACCCTAGATTCATACTACACGAAAAGGTGAGAATCAATAAGTGTAAACCATTCAAGCCAACTCACCTGCGAATGTGACCGAACGATCTACAGCGACGACTCTGGTATGTCCACCGAGGTACCGGAGCTTGCCGTCGACCCTACGAGGAACAATTTTACCTCCGTAACTGTAGAGAAACTTGATTTTATTCGTCTTCTTGTTCGAACCCAAGGTACCAGTCATGATTCGACAAACTAAACGAGGACAGTTCGGTGGGAGAGAGAGAGAGAGAGAGAGAGAGAGAGATGCTTTGGAATTTGGTAGCACCTTCAAGCCTCGCCAGGGTTTTATAGTGACTATATATATATATAGAGAGAGAGAGAGAGAGAGAGAGAAAGAGAGAGTGGTGGATTAGGAAACGACGACGAAAGGGTAAGGGGTTTGAGGAAGGAACCGCCATGACGATTCTGTTGTTTTATAGGGATGCGTTTGGAATTGGATTTAAGTAAAGTAACAGAAAAGTGGGCCAGCGAAGTTGGAATTAGTGGCTCCGATTCTCATGGGGTTGCAACGTGGCGTTTTCAGAAGTTGTGGGCCCTATGAGGCCCAGTGGCCTGGCAGGTGCTACTCCCTGTTTGAAGGGGAGGCCCAAACAAAACCCCAAACCGCCCATTCTTGTCTGCTGTGGTACATTTGGACCCAATGGCCACTATGTCGTCAGAATTGATTTTGGACATTTAATAATAAAATTCGTTAATTTTGTTTAAGTTTCTCCATTTCCAATCAATTTTATCATTTAATAAAACTGATAATAATCGGGTCAAACTTTAAAAGTTCGAGTCGAATTTATTGAGTTGAGCCCAAATAGTTCAACTCCATTGTCAACCCTATTTATCAAGTCTCACTCCTATTAATGCAATCTTCACCCTAATTGTTCTTTTTATAAAAAAATTTACATTCTTCTTTTTATAAAAAAAATTGGAAGTGATGCAAGATTGGGCACCACGAAAGAGATTAAAGAGCTTGCTCACCGGATGGTATCATACTAAAATTTATAATTTTTTAAAATTAAGTTATAATTTTTTTAGGTATAAATTATAATTGTTAAAAGTATGATTAATTCTATAATTTTATGATCAATCATAAAAGTTTATACCTTTTAAAAATTAAATTATAACATAATAAAGAGGAAAGAAGTAGTTATAATTGATTATAATAATTTATGATCAATAAGAATATTTTATAATCGATCATAAATTGTCTCAATTATTTGTAATTTCATTTTTAAAAATTATAATTTTAATATGAAAAGTAATAATTTTCGGTACAATACTAATTTTTTTTGTTGTTTTGATAAAATAAAATTACCCAACATTCAATAGACATGTAATTGATTAGAGTTTATTAATAAACGATGATAAAATACTTTAAAGAGCTGTGATTTCGCTTTTAAAATGTGTAGTTTGTCCTTAAAAAACGATAACTTTCGATAAGGTATCAAATTTTGTTATAGTACAATTAGTCCATAATTTAGGGGTAAAAAGAGTAATTTGTCCAAAGATATTGTTTCGCTACAAAATAGAAAGAAACGATTTTTAACTTTCAGCTCTCTCTCCCTTCCAAATCTGCAATTCCTGGCTCTGTTTTCAAACCCTAACCCTAGCTGTTGCACTGCCAAATCTCTTCTTCTTTCGTTCCGCCAGAGAGCACCCGACCCATCTCTGTAGTGATCATGTTGAACCCTTACGACTCCAGATACGACGACGTCGGCTCCTACCGTCAACGTCGAAGGTACCCCAAAACGCCCTTCTCTTCTCTCTCTCTCTCTCTCTCACACACACACACACACGCACGCGCTCACGCTCTTTCAGATCTATCTTCTCTTTCCATGTTTACATTTATAGGACGCTACCTTTATACAGGCTTGTATGTGTACGCAAATACGTGTATTTGGGTGGTGAATTTTGGATCTTATAATGGTTGATCATGTTTTATGTGTATTTGTATTGTCGTTTATGTGCTTTCGTGTAAGAAGTTTTTATGATTTACCGAATTTTTGTAATTTTAGTGATCTAACGGGGCCACCGCCTCCGGCAGCGCGGCCTGTGATGGGTGGGCCACCTCAGAGCTTTGGCCGTGGTAGACCGGCTCCATTTGGGGGTCCTCCAGTGGGGACCCCACCTGTGGTGGGTGGTGGAAGAGAGCACGGAGGTGGTGTTGGATCTGTTCCTGGTGGTAGAGGATTTGGTGGGTACCCGCCTTTTGAGCCTGAGGTTGGAAGAGGTTTTGATATTGGCAGAGGAGGAGGAGGAAGAGAAAGAGGGTTTAGTGGCGGTAGAGGTGCTGGTGGCAGAATGGCTAATGGTGGTATTGTGGATCGGAGAAGTGGTAGTTATCAGGGCAGTGGTGGTGGAAGGGGTCGTGAAATTGGGAGAGGTGGCAGTACGGGGAGGGGATTCGATGCTAGTCGTGGTGGAGGTAGAACCGGTGTTGGGGGTAGGGGTTTTGATGGAAATTGGAGTGGTGGTAAGAACTTTGATGGAGGCCGTGCTGGTAATAGGAGTTTTGACGCAGGCCGAGGTGGGGTTAGTGGTTTTAGCAGTGGGCGTGGTGGTGGAGGAAGGGGTTTTAATGGAGGCCGTGGCGGTGGCGGCAAAGGAGGTAGACATGGTGGATCGAGAGGGGACTTGGACAATATTGCTCTTCCCAAGCAAGATTTTGGTAATTTGGTCCCATTCGAGAAGAACTTTTACGTTGAATGTCCTTCGGTGAGGGCAATGACTGATCAAGATGTTGCTCTTTATCGTGCAAGACGAGAGATCACCACCGAAGGCCATGATGTCCCAAAGCCCATTCGGATGTTCCAAGAAGCAAATTTTCCTGGTATATTTTGGGATGCATAACATTAATTGAGCATTTTAGCTATAGCACTCAAGGTATCATGTTACTAATAAGTTGGTTGATTTTGTATGGTTTGGTAGATTTTTGCCTTGAGGTCATTGCCAGATTGGGTTTTGTTGAGCCAACACCAATCCAATCTCAAGGGTGGCCGATGGCTTTAAAGGGTAGGGACGTAATTGGCATTGCTGAGACTGGTTCTGGAAAGACGCTGGCTTATTTGCTTCCTGCTTTGATTCATGTCAGTGCACAGCCTCGTCTGCGTAAGTATTGTTTTACAGTTCTGTATGGATTGCCATCGTTTTTATCTTCAAGTAGTCTTATAAGTTGTCTCCTTATTGTTAATAATACAGTACAAGGTGAAGGTCCTATTGTGCTAGTATTGGCACCTACCAGAGAATTGGCAGTTCAGATTCAAGAAGAAACTCTGAAATTTGGATCTCGTGCGAATATAAGGAGTACTTGCATTTATGGCGGTGCCCCAAAAGGACCACAGATTCGTGATCTTCAAAGAGGTACTTGCATTTCCCTTTGGATAATTTCTTCAGCTGGATGTGAATCCATTCATGTGAAGCTTACAAATTAACTTTCTTTCATGGCAGGTGTTGAAATTGTTATAGCTACTCCTGGGCGATTGATAGATATGTTGGAAGCTCAGCGCACAAACTTGAAAAGAGTGACTTATCTTGTGTTGGATGAGGCTGATCGAATGTTGGATATGGGGTTTGAGCCTCAAATCCGCAAAATTGTTGCCCAAGTATGAATTCTATCACTCCCTCTTTTTCATGATGTGATTCTAACTGCGTCAGAGAACTGCATTTTGGAAATCATAGCCTTCCATGCTCTAATAATATTTTTGCATGGACTTTGGTTTACACCTGTTTCAGGAGTGTGTATGGTCTATAAGTTGAGTATGATTGTGTGTCATCCTTGGCATTTGTAATATATGATGTGTAATTGTTTTCGTTTCTGTGAGTGTGTATGTGTGTCTTGAAAGAGTTTCATCTAGCGATGTTGAATAGCGTGTCTATTATTTGGACTTCTTATTCACCTATTGGATGTTAACACATGGACACTCCATTGCTTATCATTGGGAATAACACGTTACTTTTAATTTGTAATTGTGATTCCTTAATAAAACTCAGGTACAGTATGGAGTCAATTCTCTCAAAAGTATGGACACTAGTATTTTGTTTTTCTTGGCATCCTACTTGATCATCAGATTATTAGATCTTAAATTATCTTTAGCTTTAACATGTGCGTGCATCACAAATAAGTCAACTCTTTATTATGCCCCGGAAGTGTATGACAGCTGCTGTGATGCTTGAACTGAATGTTGGCTGCTGCACATTACTCCTTATTTTGCCAGACCATCAGGTGGATGAATCTGAGTCTTGATCAACTTGTCTTGTGCCACTCAAATTATACCACTCTTTTTGTCCAATTTTTTGTTACTACCTGAGATTTATTTAGAAAGCTTTGGTTAATAATAGAGATTACTTTTCATAGTCTGAGTACATCTCTAGTAAGATGGACCAGTTCTCCATGAACATGCATATGAGCATCAGAACCACTGGTCTGAAGTTCCTTCTCAATTTCAAAATACATTTGATAAGCTCTCATTACCTGGGTATATTTTTGTTACCCCTCGGTGAAGGTCTCTCACTTGTGAGTTGTGATATGGTTCATTACTTCTTGGCATCATGGTGCAAAGTTGGCTGTGTCCATGATGGCCGTTATATGACAGAATGAATGCACTCAAGTTGTGTGCCTATTTTATGATCCGTAATGTAACAGTTAGATGAAACTGAAGTTGATATTCACACAGTCTATTGGATGTGTGACTGATATGACAATGCATTTTTTATATGATTTAGGTATTTTCTTCCTGCATGTGATGTTCAATTAATCTAATTCATGAATGAATAATTTTTGTTATGTTATAATTAATAATCTTACATTTTTTATTTTTATCTACTTAGTATACTTCCATGTCATGATGAAGTCCAGTTAAAAAGAATGAGTTTTGGTGGTAAATTTTTGAAGTATTTTCAAATATAGATCCGACCAGATAGACAGACATTGTACTGGAGTGCCACATGGCCAAGAGAGGTGGAGACTCTAGCTAGGCAGTTTTTGCGCAATCCATATAAGGTCTCTATTTTAAATCTTTTCCTATTATACATGCTACGCACTATATTTAGATACATCAATGCTTATTGATTGATCTTCAATTTTTTTTGGTCTTTTAGGTACTCATTGGGTCCCCTGATCTGAAAGCAAACCAGTCTATAAACCAAATTGTTGAAATAATGACAGAGGTGGAGAAGTACAACAGGTGTGATTTTGGTGACTAGTTGTGCAAAAATGTTTACTTTTGCCTCTGATAATTTTGAGTTCTTACTGCAATCTGCAGGTTGATCAGACTTCTCAAAGAACTGATGGATGGAAGCCGGATTTTAATATTTTTGGAGACAAAAAAGGGATGCGATCAAGTCACAACACAGCTGAGAATGGATGGGTGGCCAGCTTTATCCATCCATGGTGATAAAAGCCAAGATGAAAGGGATTGGGTCCTGGCTGAGTTTAAAAGTGGCAGGAGTTCTATAATGACTGCCACTGATGTTGCGGCACGTGGTCTTGGTAGGATGATTGTGTGTTAGGACTTAGGTTCATTTAGGTCTTAAAATTCAAACATAGGTGCGAGTCGGCCGGCTGCTGTCCACTTTCCTGGGAATATAATTTGTGGTTTGGGTGCAAGGAGGGATGCGGCCATGTCTTGAGGCTATCAAGTATCAACTGCTAATGTTTTGGTTTGCTAATGAGGATAAGCCTTTTACATAAGATTCACAGGCTGGATTGAGAGGCAATTTGGGTTTCTCATTAATACTTAAAACTGGTGTCTTGGCCTAGTGGTGATCTGGAAGGCTACTCTGGGTGAAGGCCAGGATTCAAAGATTATGAACTATCATTTGGCTTAAGAAACAAAAGGAAATGAAAAGATTTTCACTTAGTATCTCCTTACAATACATCTTTTTCATGAAACCAACTTCTTATGTTAGGATACAAGGAGCATAGTTTTAGAGATTTAGCTAGGATAGTGTCACGGGATTTTGATGAATGTTTGCTGTCATATTGTGCAGGGCCAGGCAAACCATAGGTTGTGGATTTTTTTTTTCTTGTTTTTGCCTTTTCCATTTTTCCGTTATTATGTCTTGGTTTATGTATAGGTAATATTTGTTGCATGAGCTTTTAGCTTATAAATGTGGAACACAAAACTTAGATAGTTGACTTTTTTGGGGTAGTAAATATTGAAGATCATGAGAGGTCAACGAGCAAACATTTTTGGTATTTTGAGTCAATTATCCATGGGAAGGGGGAGATTGGAGACGAGTTTACTAATAGATTTAAAGTAGGATGAGTTAAATGAATGAATGCATCTGCTGTGTGCTATGTGATCGATATATGCCCATTAGGTTTTTTTTTGGGTCAGATGCCCATTAGTTTTTTTTTTTTTGGTGAGATGCCCATTAGGTTGAAGGTAAGTTTTATAAGGTAGTTATTTGACTAGCAATGTTTTACAGTATAAAATGTTGGGCAATTAAGAATCATGTTCCAAAAACTAACTGATGTAGAAATGAGAATACTAAGATGGATGTGTGGTAAAACAAGAAAAATAGAATTATAAATGACTGTAATTGTGACACTAGAAGTCGAACCGATAGGAGATAAATTAAGAGAGAAGCGACCTAAGTGGTTTGAACATCTTTATTGAAGACTTGGAAATGCACCAGCAACGAAGAATGATTTGATGCATGCAATTGTAACACGAGGTAGATGTAGACTTAAATTATAATGGAACGAAATAGGAAAGAAAGATATGATGGCTGACAGTTTGACAACAAATATGGCCCCCTGATGGAGAACAATGGAGAAGCAGGATTTATGTGCGTGATCCTAAATAGTTGGGCTAAAGGCTTTGTTGAGCTAGGTTGAGTTATCCACTTCTTGACTTTTCTGAATGTTGTGTCCAAGTAACATGGCTGAAGTTATTGATGCCCATCCACGGTTATGGAGCTGGTTGTCGGGACAGCCCGGTTGACTCATACAGGCTTAGTTATTGATTGGTTATTTGGATTGGGAAGTTGTGGTGGCGGAGCTGCTCCTTATCCCTGCAAGGTTAAGGTGGGCACATTTATGTGATGAATGTGTTATCTTATATTTGATCACTTGGATCTTATGAGTGCCGGGATAAGGTTGCCATTGCATTTTTCCTCTTATGTTTTGATATATTTTATTCATTTAATATAATCTGTGTTTTGTGGATGTAGATGTGAAGGATATAAAATGCGTGATCAATTATGATTTTCCATCAAGTCTTGAGGATTATGTCCATAGGATTGGCCGAACTGGTCGTGCAGGAGCTAAGGGAACTGCCTTCACGTTTTTCACCCATGCAAATGCTAAGTATGCTAGAGCTCTCATTAAAATTCTGCAAGAAGCAGGGCAAATTGTTCCTCCTGCATTGTCTGCGTTGGCCCGGTCAAGTGGTTATGGCCTTGGAGGTAATCATTGTTGAATTCTTCGCATTTTGAGAAGAGGATGTGTGCTTAACTGAGCAATATTTTGTCTTTGTTCTTTATCAGCTTCTGGGGGCAACTTCCGCTCCAGAGGAAGGGGAGGTTTTGGCAACAGGTCGATTTCAGGATCTAACACTGTTCCTCTTGGTGGAAGGAGGCCTTGGTAGTTTCTGCAATCTGAAGAAACAATGTAAACTAGGTTTTAGAATACATTTGATGGTGGAAACTTGTTTTTATTTCTAGTCCTGCCAAAATCTTACACATGTTAGGATTGCTGCAGCTAGAACTAGATATTAGATAATATATTGAGAGGATGATGTCTTTTGCAGGACAGTTTTGTTTTTCTGATCGTAAGGGGAGACTCTTGAGATCTAGAAAAAGGTACAAAGCTGCATTGGGCAAATGCATTGTGTAAAGGGTTTGATTGTTTTTAAAAGCATTAATTTCCAACTCATTATGAATCTCTTGATTTGTAAACATTTCTATCGATTGTCAACTACTAATTGTTGGTCAAGCCCTTTCTTTATTTCTTTCTATGCCGGTGGGCTGGGAATGAGTGGGGGGAGTGGGGCTGTCCACTTCTCTAAGATTTGCTTTCCAATGTAAAGGAAAAGTATGGTGCCCTAATGGATCATGTTTTGATTGGAAGGCATGTATGATTGTGTTTTGGAATTTAGCTTTCATTTCTGTTATCGACAATAGCCTGTGTCTGAGTAAATGTCTGATGCTAGTTTTTGGATGCTAATACCTTTACTTGAATGTGTAGGTTCTTTGCCTCTGTTATACTCTTCAGTTAATCTGGAGTTCATGTGGATGATCTATGTGTGTGTGTTTGTAGGTGTGTGTCCACCTTGTGCTGTGTAATTTCTTGTTCTGGGTGGATGCGCACTTTCGTATTTGAGCTGAGATAGTTGGTTTTTGTCTTTATGAATGAGTTGTTTCAGAAGCAGGCCTAGACTTACTCGGCAAGAGTTGCCTCTACCGAGTTTTGAATCTCGGTTCGAGTTTCTATCCTTCCTTCCCTTGGTTCCCAACTTGGGTTTGACTCAGAATATTCTGCAGTAGCAGGGTAGGCACCTCTTGGTGTTATCCACATCTCCGGTGTACCCCCCACAAAAAAAAAAAAAAAAAAATTTCTCTTGTTTCAGTATTGGACTATACTGT